AGGAGGAGGAGGAGGAGGAGGAGGAGGAGGAGGGGGATGAGGAGGAGGAGGGGCTACTCGGGAAAAAGAGAGAATTACCTGTAGGTCTTAATATTAGATTTAGCAAAAGAACAGGCCCGAGGACCTTCCTTCCACGGAGTAATTATATTATTGTTACGAGCTTACCATGGCACCACCTCCTGACCTACAAGACCGTGCCCCTAAATACCACGGACCGCTTCTCTATGGCTCGGTGAATGTCCTTGGCGTATGCATAGTAGGCATAACTTATAATTAGTGCTCAGGTTGTTTTCTTTCTTTGTTTTCTCTGTAATGTAGATATGTTTACCCTCCTTCTGACATTATTTGAATCATTTAAAAAGCGGCATCAGACCCTACCTATCAGGACCAATCCTGGTTGTTGAGATGGTTACAACAACCCAGCAAAGAGCAAAATACTGGATAAAAATACTTTCTCAACTTGGGAATCAAACTTGGGTCACCTGATTGCAACGGCGAAGCGTCTGACCCCTACATAACAGACGCCTTTTTTTTTTTACATCATCATCATCATCATCCCTTTTCTTAGTGCTGAGATTTGATGTAGTTAACTCTTAATGTTTTACGAGAACAGCAAAAGTACAGCAAGAACGTCGGAGGGACTCACAGAATGGTTCGAGATAACATCCGGAGTAAGACAAGGTTGTGTCCTATCATCACTACTATTTATCATTATATGGATAGAATTACAAAAGAGGTCAACACAGAACCTGACGCCCTAAATTAATTACTCTTCGCTGATGACCAAAGCCTGGCACACAAAGATGAACGAAGTCTCCAACACCACATCACCAGATTAAACGAAGAATGTAACTACTACGACATGAAGATGAACATAAACAAAACAGAAAGTAAGAAAGTAAGCAGTATATTCACAAAGGATGGACGATTGAACAGACAAATTGAAACACGAGTACAAAAGGTCAAAAATGTTAGTTAACAGCTTACTCCACCACTGAAACATCCTTACATCCCCATGACATCAAAACTCAAAATGAGCAAAAACAACATATTCATCCCAACACCCACCTATCAATGCCAAACATGGACCACGAACAAGACATTAGAGCAAAGAATTACAACATGTGAAATGCAATGTCTTAGAAAAGCAGTAAACAAGACCAGGCGAGACCAAATTAGAAACTCGGTAAACAGAGAAATGGTGGGCACAAATGATGTCATGCATCACATCCAACACCAAAGAATCAAATGGTTCGGACATCTCATGCGAATACCAACACACCATTCAGCACAACGTGCCTACATGGAAGAAAAAAAATTCGATGGCGACAAAGCTAGAGGGCGACTGAGAGAGACCTGGATAGATGGAGTCAGGGAAACACTAACAACTCACGACATCCCTCTGATCCAAGCTCTCCGGCTGGCGACAGAGAGACGTCTCTTTCTTCTCGCGATACCCAAAAGGGTGTAAGCGGAGGATAAAAATATATTTTGTTTAAACTCTTAATATTTCCCGAACTTTCCCTCGCGAATAAAATTGCAGGGGAATAAGCTGTTTATGGACTCAAATCATGCCAAAAAATAACCTTTTTCAGTTCTGATTAGCAATGAGATTAGTTTATTTATCAATTACAGGCTTAGATCAAAGTACATTCCCCAGGGACACCATGTCGGGGAGGAGCCTCGAACGCCCGAGCTCGCAACCTCACGATTACGAGTCCGATAGCCAAAATACTAGACTACCAACACAGTATAAATCCATCTATTTACCGAAGGTTACTATTACTTACTCAATCCCCATACCGTCAGGTAGGCTACATAAAGCAGAGACCAATCAACGCCATACTTGTCTGTACCCTGTCCATCTCCTCCCAAAAAACTTATTTTAGCACATCTAAGCCCTCCCGTAGATCTCTTAGCCTGTCGATTCCAGCCCAACACTTTCTCTGCTATGCAGCTGCATGGCTTCCTGTGTGTTTGTCCAGTCCGTGGCCACCATCCTCTTCCCACTTCATCTTTGACTGGACGTAACCCATACCTCAGCTGATTCTTTAAGTCGTAACTTTACGACTAAGAGACAAACTCCGAAAATGTGAAACATTCTCTAAAAAGAGAAATATAAATGTAGGTGTTTTATGCCCCTACACACTCAATGTTAGGTTATTAAAAAGGCGGTCTTCGACCCTGCCTAGCTGTCAGAACCAACCCAGTCTGAGAGTCACACAAAACCCCAGCAGAAAGACGGAAATACATGGATTCGATAAAAACTCTACCCACACAGGAATCGAACTTACGTCATCTCCGTGAGACTTCGAAGCGCCTTACCGCCACACCACAGACGCTTAATACTCTCTGTCACTGTCAGATATGAACAACTGATTTGGTCACTTTTTTTCTTTTGTCCTGACCATATAATAATAATGATAATTATAATGATAATAATAATATTAATAATAAAAATAATAATAATATTAATATTAATAATAATAATGACATTTATTTAGCGCTCAACCCCGATTAAAGTACACAGATTCTGGGCGCTTTACACTACAATACAACAGTGAGGTGAAACGTTGTGTTCTGACCAAAAGAAAATCACTACAAATATTCATCTTATTGATATAAATACAGAAGAAACGTCAGCTGACATTTGAATAAATCAAAGGATTTGATATCTCTTAAAGTACTTGACAAAGCATTCTTTTCACCCATTGTTTTTAAGTATCATAGACGGTAAAAGAAATGTCTTTTTGTCAGCTGATGACCTTAAACTGCGAGTCTGAAAGTAGATCTACAGTCTCAACAGATTTGATAAATTATATGATGGCGCTTTATTATTCAAGCATTTGTGACATAGGGTGGCAAGATGACAGGTTATGGGAGGGCGTCACAGGAACGTTCTTCTTCTTAAATGTCCTTCTCTTTTTCTGCTGTCTGTCTTTCTTGCTTTTTTATTTGTAGTAAACAAAACAACTCAGACCATATAAGATGAAAGTAGAGATAAAAATCGATTCACACTCCTTGTTTCCAGCACTGTTTAGAACCTGAGAGCTATTCGGGTCTTTTTTTTTTCTTTTTTTTTTTGGGGGGGGGGTGTTGTTCTGTTTGCTAAAACTCCAAGTAACATGTCACAATATTATAACAGTCGCAAACCGTGTAACTCCAATATTACTACTTTCAAGGAAAACAGATTACGACTGTCCAGCGTGCCGCAACGTTGTATTTTGTAATTTCCATTCGATGAACTTGCAAACTGAAAGCAAGAAAAGAAGAGGACACAATGCAGAAAAAAAGGACAGTGCATTTTGGAACCTTGTTTGGAACCAAAACATCTCAAGCAGGCAGATTAGCAAGAGATAGAGTGTTCTATTGCAGAAAAAAGTTCAGAAACAGCGTCCAAATTTATACTGAAAACGATACGAGGAAAGCGGAGAAGTTTCACTTTGTAGACATTGTGCAAAGCGGTTTTTTAATTTAAAAAATTTACCCCTAATTTTTTACTTACATGGTTTACAACTGCTGCAGTCGATGTCCTAATAAGTGTCATGGATCCTTGTGTGGTCGAGTTATTATAGGCATATAACAATGTCGGGACACAATTTTTAAAGCTGGTGCAGGAAAATTTGAACAAAATCGTCGTTAAATTCAAAATAATACAAAACCCAAACAGAATACTATTAAGTATTGAAAACAGGACCTAAAAGGGGATGAAGATCGCAACTAGATCTGGTCAACCTTTATTTTCAGTCAGTACCCATTTTTACCACATTAAAGAAACAAATATTCGTTCCGCCCTCCAACATAATGTGGCCTAGATCTACTTCCAAGTGGGACATAAAATAATAGCGCTCACAACTGTGTGCTCCCCACCGATCACCAAAATTACCACATCTCCCTCTAGTGGGCGATATCGATCGAGTTGGTGAGCACTGATGTACACATTCGTAAAATTGGTATACTCACGATTTTCCTCAGACAATGAAGGTACACTATCAGTCTGATGTAGGAGCACGCTACTTGCTTCCACGGCAAAAATCGGTTTAACTTTGACAGCTTCTCAAGTTTTTAATGGCTCTCGTACCCAGAGACAGGATTTATCTAGGTTAAGCTGTTAACTGTTTGCACGCAACTCAGCTTGGAAACAAGCGGTGCACGGTAAAGTAGAGTCAGAGAATACTTTTTTTCTGTTGCCATCTGTTGTTTTGTTTTTTTCCAAAATGCACTAAAACTTCTGAGTAGGGAGGGGGGGGGGGAGTTTCGTTTGTTCGCGGGCGGCTTTTCCCCTTCACCATTTTATTCTCTGGTTTAGTCTAAATACAGAATGTACAATGTGTTGCGCAAATTTTCATGGGGGTATTTTGGCACAGAAAAATGTAGGTTTTCCGGGAGATTATCAGGCTTGGGGAACTGAGTGAGTATGTATTAGCACACTAGCTGCCCAACTTACTTATGCAACCTTACTCCCCCCTCCTTTGCCCCACCCCCTTTCTCTCTCTCTCTCTCTCTCTCTCTCTCTCTCTCT